TCGTTTTCTAGCCTTGCCGTGTTTTACTTCATTTTGAAGTACTCCATCTATGCAGTAAGGGCAGAATTTTCATCTTAGGGCTTAGGACAGAATTCTGCAGGATATGCTATGCGTTTCCGTCGCTTCTTAGCCCGTTATCTGCTAAAACTGCGGTGAATGTCTCCAGTGAATTTATCTCATTATTTGTGCATAGGGAGACCTTCTCCCATCGATTTAACGAGTGTTTCAATTGCTTTCCTCAAGGTGCTACAATTTTCCTTATTGACAATAGTTACGTGCCTTAAATCAGTATATTTTCCTCATCCGTGTGTGCAAATTATTGCTCAAGTTCTGTGCGCAGTGTTAATTTTATAATAAAATTAAGAAAATTTTTTGCTTTTTCTATGTTTTCTAAGCTTACTTATGTATTAATAATTTAAGTGATTCTGATGCTTTGAGAACGATAGCTATTGCCTGCCAGCAATTTGGCGCGAGCTCAGTGCGTTAGACAATAAGAGAAGCTGATCTTTCATAAGGTAGATTATAACCCTGCTCGAGCTTTCTTTACATGTTACGATCCCCTCCAGTTCAACAGTTTAGTAGGAGGTTGAGTTTTGCGTCTACGTCTCAAAAAAGGGTATACAAAGAAAATTTTTTCAGTGCTCAATTTTAAATTAACTCAGCGTTCAAAGGTCAATTTTTTAAAGAATGAATTTCTTGTCGATGAATGACATTGTTAAATTGAGAACATGGTAAGTGTAGAGTAGTTAGGTCGCTTGCGGGCAATCTATCGATTGCAGTTATCGTTCAAGGTGTACGCCTCAACCTATGCAGGTCACTTGAAGCTCGAAACATTTAGGAAGAGCTGTTCAAAAATCTCCTAAAAGAATATCAGGCTAAGGTAAGAATGAAACACGGTAACTGACGCTTCGTCAACTTTTTTGGAAGCTGCCGTATGCAAGGATGTGCAAAGAGCACAGTGACTTTCGCAGGCTGGACTACTAAACGTAGAATATTGCTTAGCTATTCAGCAGAGAGTATCTTCATGTATTTTAGTTCTATATGCTATTAGATTTCTTCCGCTTAGTTCACTGTGAAGGTGTCAGACATAGCAGCTTTTGGGGATAGCCTAAATGTCGTGTTTAGTCGCAACTATGGTTCCAATTAAGTAGATTTGAAAGTCTTGAAAAACTACGAAGAAGCTGAGAGACTGCTCAAGATCTGGAAGTTAGAAAGCTTCCATTACTTTTGTAGTGCTTTTTTGAAGCATCGAAGTTTGTCAAAATTCACATTGTTTCATGATAATTCCCTTAGAATTTTTTCCCATTAATGAGCTGCACTATGTAAAGCAGTGGCTTCCCAAGCAAGGTCCAATTATGTTTCACACACGCATACCTTACTACTATAGATTTACCGCGGCGCTAAATTTCATTAATGCCAAACTTATGAGGGAGTTGTGATCCAAGCAGGCGATGATCATCCAACAGGTGACACAATTCTTGATTTGATACGCTCGCCTGTCCATGCACTTTTCAAGCCCCTATTCTCCCATACTGCCTATTCGCATAGTATTGGTGACTTACGAGCTAATAATTGAACCTTTAATATGAAAAAAACATAATTGCAGAGCAAACCTTTTCTCAGAGGTAGGCAGAATGGCACTTCTTATCACTAGCTTACAAAGCAGATTGTTTGTATGTCTTTTTCCAACCTTTAACTGGTAACCATTAGCAGCTGCTATGTTGAGAGCTTCTTGAGTTGATTTGAGCTTCAGCGCATTGTCAATGAGTACTGGCTGCGTGAAGTATCCCAACAATGCTACGCTTTATAACACTAGGGTAGGCGGAGGAGTAATGCACTAAGATATTCTTGTTGCTAGGTTGTACCATCAAGTGTCCACTTTACTTAAGCATATCTGAACATTAAGAAATGAGGGCCAGTTGTCCCTTGGTTTTTCCCCCAGTAAATTTGGATTAGTTGTCTGCCTATATTGGCAGATCCAAACAAGTATCCAATTCTACTTGTGTGGAATATACAATGAGGCAATCATCACTGTACCAAAAGTAAAAAGTTGTTTTCTAAAAAACTGGATTTACTACTTTTGGCGTGAAGGCTACAGCTAGTACATGTTCTCAATGTTGCCCCATAGTGGTCCCCTGCTTTGTCTAAAGTATAGCTCTGACAGATACTGGAAAATCCATATATCCTCTTACAAACCTCTATTGAGATGAAAACTTACAATTTTTTTTTCCTCCTGATTAATTTGAAAACAGCTTGCATAGCGGCAGAATTTGATACATCTACACGAGAGGAGTTACATTAAAAGATTAGTGCCTCATCCTTCCCAAATCAAGTGTTACGCAAATAACCTTTATATAAGACAAATGTGCAGGGATATACTGTAGGAATCAAGTGAGAATCAAATTAAACACCTATTAAACACTTGTCCACCCTCCTGAGCTCTCCATCTTACATGGGTGAACTTTGAAGTTCGAAACATCAATAGACGTAAGACTGTCGGCAGATAGCTTGTGTGTTAGAAAGGCTGCTATGGTCAAATAAGGAAACATCTCGACGGCTTGCGAGAAAAACAGATGTGTACGCCATTAAGCTCATTGCAGTAAGTGACATCAAAATTATGAATTTGAAGTCTCACTTTCAATTCTATCGTGAGGAGCTGAGGTGGCGGCGCGCAAG